TCTTTGAGAATTTCAGTACTTTCTGCAATACAATTTTGCTATTCCATAACAGATGTCAACTTAAATTCTACTGAAGTCATTCTATTCTCCTTTTATTTGCACGCTTGGGCATGTACAAAGGAAAAGGAATTTTGCTAAAGCAGCAAATTATTTTAATAGTTAGTTTTTTAGAAATTAGAATAACTTATATTGCAAGCAAACTTTCTGGATTTGTGGAATGAAAAAAAAGGATGGATGTAAAGATCAAATTTTAACCAAATTTTAGTCCCATGTGTGAGTGAAAAATGGCTTTGTTTTTGTTGTTTTTTTTTTAAAGAGTATTTAATGCAGAACAACTCAAAACTAGTGTACTTTGTTATATTATAGAATCTTTTTTTTTTCCTGATCAAAACCCATATGCTAATTTTTTACCATTTTCACCAAGTTTGTAAAACCATTTTTTCATAACATGTATCTTGGTTTTAAAGGCAATTATTTGTATGTTGCCTGCTTTTTAGGACAGTGTCACATGAACGTAAAGCTATATATGAAGTTGATGAATTACCAAATTAAAGGTACCGAAAAAATTAAAGTAGAGATTGGGACTTTAATCCATCTTACAGTTTTAAGATGCTGTATTTTGCTGTATATAGAATGGTGAAAGGTTTGTGTTCTGATTTATTTCAAGGGCAACTGCTTTCTGCTGGTATAAACATATGGCGTGGCGTAGCTGTCAACCGAAATTCGGGTATAATGAGAATAAACAATAAGTTCCGTTTCTGTGAAGAATTCTGCCATACAGCTGCTGTTTCCTGTTGCCCAAAAGAGGTCAGTGTGTCTCCCACTTGCTAAAAGTTTGTTGACATAATATCCCAATGTAAAACTTCAGTGTGATCTCACAGTGTTGTTCTCTGGCTGCCAGTCTTAAGATAGTACATAAAAATTTAAGAATCCTGCTGTAGCCTGATTTCTTCCTTCACAGGGTAACATTTTATATTTTGGACATGAATTATTTTAAAATACAAATTTGGTATGCAGATACAAATTTAAAATACAAGTTTGCATGTTCAACAGTGTTCTGATTTATGAGTGAATAGCTGCCCAAAGACACGTGAAAATGCAGTAGTCTGTTTTTTGACTAAGAGGGTGAGAAGAAAGAAGTAAGACATACCACTAGACTCATTAAGTGTTTGCTTCAGAGAAAAAAAAAAAATCCCCAATGTATTACTCCAAATAAAATTTATTTTGGTCACAGAAAAGTCAGATAGAATGAACTTGAGCATAGCAAAGTATTAGAGCAAAGATTGGATCCAGGTGGTTGTGGTACTGGTGACAGCATCTTTTGCCCTGTGAAAGGAGACAGGGAGATTTTGAAAAATAAAAATTGGCAGGCATATACAAGGCCAGTGTTTTTCTATCTTTAGAATAGGTTTACATCTGTTCATGAAAATGACCTGTTACTGTCAGTTCTTCCACTTGAATTGCAACATCTAAAACTTCTACAGAAACAATTCTTTACTGGCTGTTTCGTTTAGTAGTGCAAATGAGCTTATCTGGGTTTTCTTTAAAGTTCATGACATCGCTTTTAATAAATGGGTGTTGTGGGGAAAATGGTCATGCTATCTGTACATATGCATATCGGCTTCTTAAATGTCAGATCAAATAGCAGATTTATTTATTCTCATGATGCTATAGAGGTAGAAAATGGAGGATATGAAGTCTATGGGTACTTTTGTACAATTTATCTGAATGTAATCAATAAAAACAGGGTCACTCCAGAAAGTGAATGCTTAATGACTTTGATCTCTTAGAGATGAAAGGGAAATATGACTTAAATCGGCTGTTATGATAGAGGACATTTTTATTCGTCCATGAAAAGACAGAGGAAAATTATTTCCCGCCCCTCCCTGACATATACAAATACAAAGAGAGAACTGTAAAAAAAAAAAAAAAAAAAAAAAAATCACTTGGAGATGGAAAATGTATTTTATTGTATTCACTTATTTGTACAAAAGTCTCCTTTTGAATGTCTTCTCTGGAGTGTTTTCTGAAATTGACTTTAACTTGGAAAATTTCAACAAATCTTTTAATTATATCTTATTTTTAAGCTACGTTTTAAGATAATGTTCATAAATCCTCTCTATGCTTCCTCTAAACTGTTCATGTAGGAAGCTATCCTTCTTTCCCTCATACAAATTGTGCTGCATGTGTGTTCCCTTACTACGTTGCAGGGTAATATTGAAGGTCATTGATCAGTTAACAATGGATTTATCCTTGAGTTGCCAGGATTGAAGTGCTAGAAGTCCTTGCCTTTGCAAGACTTTTGGTCCTAGTGACTTAGTTAAATCTGCAGTGTTGGTATACTCTTAAGAGTGAATGAGCAACAGATAAAATAAGAAGGTTTTAATTTATTTTAGTTGCAATAGTGGTGTATATTCCAAAGATCTGACCTTTGGGCAGTGAGGTTATGAAAGCTACATAAATGGAGACTAAAAGTAGAAAAATACTAAGGAAGGAATGACTAGATAGTGTGTATTTGTTTCAACCGTATGGGACTAAGCTAAGTAATTTTTTTTTATCCCTAAGATTTGTAAGAGTATTTTTCTCTTAATATCTTCTGTTGGCTTTGGCAGTCTTCTCATAGCACTACATAAAATGGGTGATTATCAGCAAGTGAAGGAGCTATTTGAAATGTTCTTGTAAGAAGTTTTGTACACCTGACAATGCGATGATAAATTTAAGTCAGTGTTTTACCTGCAGCCAGTAATGAAATCTTTAAGCATAGTTGGATTTGTCATTGTTAAGGAAAGTTGTAGAAGTGTGGTACCTTGCATTTATTACAGGCTAAGGAAAATACACGTGCAAAAATATGTTAGCTCTCATAGTTCATAACAATTAGACTATGAACCTGAGCTTTAAGAGCATTTACCATGGTTTGTGTAGTGCATCCAGAGAAACTGTGGACCTGTATTTACTTGTAGATGACTGGCTGAGAAGCAGCAGTTCTCAGCAGCACTGGTTGTGAACTTCGAGATATTCCCTCTTGTTCCCTGAGCAAGTAATAGAATTAGCACAAAACTGCAAGATACCAAATCACCTATTGCTTTCAGGTTATACTCACTTGCCAGACAGCAAAAATCCCCTCTTTTTAGCCAGTGATAGAGGACTTACTGGTGTGATGAATAACAATGTTTACCCGTCCAAGACGGGGCATGTGTTAGTGTGCACGTCATGTTTGTCAGACTTCAGGTGTGATCTTACAGCATGGGCTGAGCTCTTCATGTCCTTTATCCCAGCATTGTATCAGTAAATGAAAGTTTCATGTTAACTCTTCCGTGGTCTCTGTGATTAGACCTGATGAATGTAAAGAAATGCAATAGTTCTTACGCATCCCTCAAACTATTCCTGTGATGGCTGAAGTCTTTTCAGTTGATTATCCTGCAGCTTCCTTAAAAGTTGGCTTACTACTGGGTTTGAAGGGAAACAATTTTACATTCTAGGCGTTTCCAAAGCCTTGTGTGGTACCTACCTAATCAGGTAGGTACTAAACCTTTCACGTTTCATCTTAAACTCAGTCATGTCGTATATTTCTAGTGGTAAGTGGCTGATCAACCTCTTCGTAAGTTAAAGCATGTTTTAGTATAGCACTGGTAGCATCCAACCTTACTGGATTTGTGAGGCAGCTATATGGAACATTCTGG